CAAAAACAGTGCAATGTAACACTGAGGGTGTTACAACTATGCAAGTTAGTGTCCAAAGAAGCCGAACAAGCAACAATCCCGCAACGAAAACCATAAACAACGGACTCATGTGCAAGGCAGAGTCAATTATGTGACGATAGAATCTACACAAGAAGCCCCAGATGTTGTGTTTAGCATGTGTCTAGTCAACTCTAGCCCTGCATCAGTTTTGTTTGATTCTGGAGCTTCACATTCTTTCATTGCACATTGTTTTGTAAAGGAGCACAATATACCAAAGTGTTCTATGAAGAAACAGATGTTAATTGACTCACCTTGTGGGGATATGCAAGCTACTCTAATGTGTCCCATGTAAGAGTTGAAATAAGGGGGGTAGAGTTTTTGGCAAATCCGATTGTGCTAAAGTCTTCAAGCATAGATGTAATTCTTGGAATAGATTGGCTAAATCCACGAAAGGCTATTATCCAAGGTGAGAATGGTACAGTACACTTGATATCCAAGTCAAGAGAAGAAGTTATATGCCAGGCAACTACAAAAACAAAAGAGGTGTGCAGTGTTAATCAGATAGAAGGTGCAACTATAGATAAGACCAAGGTTGTTAATGAGTTTTTAGATGTTTTTCCTGATGATTTGTCGGGTATGCCACCAGACCGTGATATTGAGTTTATTATTGAGCTTTTACCTGGAACTGCATCTATAGCTAAGAGACCATATCGGATGGGAGTCAATGAGCTAGAAGAACTTAAGAAGCAGTTAAAGGAGCTACAGGATAAATGTTTCATACGTCCTAGTTCTTCACCTTGGGGAGCACCAGTTATATTTGTTGATAAGAAGGATGGTACTCAGAGGATGTGTTGATTATCGGTCACTCAATGAGGTTACTATCAAGAACAAGTATCCGTTGCCTAAAATTGATGATTTGTTTGATTAGTTGAGAGGTGCTTGTGTTTTCTCTAAGATTGATCTTCGTTCTGGCTATCATCAGTTGAAGATTCGTGCAACTGACATACCCAAGATAGCTTTTACTACGAGGTATGGTTTGTACGAGTACACTGTTATGTCCTTTGATTTGACCAATGCACCTGCCTACTTTATATACTTGATGAACAAGGTGTTCATGGAGTTTTTGGATAAGTTCGTGGTGGTATTCATCGATGATATATTGTTATTCTCCAAAACGAAAGAAGAGCATGCTGAACATCTAAGGTTGGTCTTGCAGAAGCTTAGAGAGCACAAGTTGTATGCTAAGCGAAGCAAGTGTGAATTTTGATTGAAGAAAGTTTCTTTCCTAGGCCATGTTGTCTCTAATGGTGGAATCGCAGTAGATCCAAGCAAGGTGAAAGATGTATTGAATTGGAAACCACCAACAGATATGGAAGAGATTCGAAGTTTCTTGGGATTAACTGGATACTATAGAAGGTTCATAGAAGGTTTCTCTAAACTTGCCAAGCCTATGACAGCTTTGTTGAAGAAAAATGCCAAGTTTGTGTGGTCTGAGAAGTGATAGGCTAACTTTGAAGAATTGAAGAGATTAACTATAGCTCCAGTATTGGTTTTACCAGATCTGAACAAGAGTTTCTCCATCTACTGTGATGCATCTCGATTTGGTCTAGGTTGTGTTCTTATGCAAGAAGGACGAGTAGTGGCTTATGCATCTAGGCAACTAAAGAAGCATGAACTAAATTATCCCACCCATGATTTGGAGTTAGCCGCTGTGGTTCATGCATTGAAGATTTGGAGACATTATCTTGTTGGACATAAGTGTGATATCTTTTCAGATCACAAGAGTTTGAATATGAGGCAGCATCGATGGTTGGAGTTGATCAAAGATTATGATCTGGAGGTATACTATCATCCTAGAAAGACAAATGTTGTTGCCGATGCTCATAGCAGGAAGAGTTATGCCAATGAGGTGCAAGTGACACCTATGTTAAGTGAGTTGTGTGCTAAATTCGAGCGACTAAATTTGGGCTTTGTCATTAATTCAGTGGAGTTAGTGTTGGAGAATAAACTAGAGCAAGAAATACGTAAGGGACAGTTACATGATGCGAAGTTGAAAGAGATAGGGGAGAACATAGTGATTGGCAAGGCACCAGGTTTCCATATGGATGATAATGGAACTTTTGGTTTGGGAAAAGACTATGTGTGTCTGAGGATAAGGCTATACGAGAGGCAATTCTTCGTGAGGCACATGAGTTTGCTTATTCTATTCATCCTAGAAGTACCAAGATATATTTGAATTTAAAGAGAAGTATTGGTGGTACGGACTGAAGAGAGATGTTGCTGAATATGTTGCTTTATGTGATATCTGTCAGAGAGTCAAAGCTGAACATCAAAGACCTGCAGGATTGCTACAACCAATGAAGATACCTGAGTGGAAGTGGGAAGAAGTTGGCATAGATTTTATAGTTGGGTTACCACATACTCAGAGAGGTTATGATTCAATATGGGCGATAGTGGATCGGTTAACTAAAGTTGCTCACTTCTTACCGGTCAAGACTACCTATACTGGACCCCAATTGGCTGCATTATATATGGAGAGGATAGTGTGTCTACATGGAGTTCCCAAGAAAATTGTGTTTGATCGAGGTACTCAATTTATATTTCATTTTTTGCAGCAAGTACATGGTTCATTGGGAACAAAGTTGAATTTTAGCACAGCATATCATCCACAGACAGATGGACAAACTGAAAGGATTAATCAGATTTTGGAGGATATGTTGAGAGCTTGTGCATTGCAGTACGGTATAAATTGGGACAAGAGTTTGCCTTATGCAGAGTTCTCATATAACAACAGTTATCAGAAAAGTCTCAATATAGCACCTTTTGAAGTGTTGTATGGACGAAAGTGTAGAACCCTGTTGTTTTGAAATCAAATGGGAGAAACTCAAGTGTTTGGACCAGATGTTTTGAGAGACGCGAAGAGCAAGTATGGATGATCAAAGATAACTTGAGAGTGGTTCAGTCTCGGCAGAAGAGTTATGTAGACACTAGGAGAAGAGAATTGGTTTTTGAAATGGGTGATTATGTTTACCTGAAGGTGTCACCTATGAGAAGTGTGAGAAGGTTTAACATGAAAGGAAAGTTAGCACCAAGGTATATTGGGCCTTTCAAGATTTTAGAGAGACGTGGAGAAGTGGCTTATCAATTGGCCTGAGAGTTTATCAGGTGTGCACGATGTGTTCCATGTGTCTCAACTAAAGAAGTGTTTGCGTGTACTCGAGGAGCAGATACCGTTAGAGGAGCTTACAGTTAAGGAAGATCTCACTTATGAGGAGTTTCCGGTAAGGATTTTGGAAACAGCGGAAAGAGTTACAAGGAGCCGAGTTATAAAGATGTATAAAGTTCAGTGGAATCGGTATACAGAAGATGAGGCTACCTGGGAAAGAGAAGAGAATTTGAGAAAAGCATACCCACAGTTATTTGAGTAAGCATCGTCCAAATCTCGATGACAAGATTCATTTTAAGGGGGTAGAATTGTAACACCCTAAAATTTGTAATATTTTAAAATAGAGGAAATTGATTTGTTATGCAAATTTTGTGGGCATTTGAATTTAGGAAAATAATAATTTTATTAAAAATAAAAGCAAATATAAGGTCACAATCATGTATGTGCATTCATGCCGCTGCATATCATTTTGTATTGCTTGGTTTGAAGTCGGATTCTAAGTCGATTTGAATTTGCATTTTGAATTTGCTTTGGAAATATGTTTAAGAAAAAGGAAAAGAAAAAAAAGAAATTTACTCCTCTCTTTCTCCCTCTCTCATTTCTGGCCTGCTCGGCCTTGTTCCCTCACTGGCCTAGCTCCCTCCCCTTTCTCTTTCACGGACCTTTGGTCCCAACCGCTGACGGCCTTCTTCTCTCTCTCTCCTTCCTCCAAGAAGATCCTTGCAGGCCCCCCCCCCCTTTCTTAGCCATATCTCTCCCCCATGCGGCTTACTTTCCCTCCCTGCGCCTCCCAATCTTCCCATTGCCGCCTCACGCCAGCACTTGTTTGATGCTCCGTCCGGCCCAAGTCTGTTGTCGAGAACCGCCTTGCCCAGCCTCTTTCCCTCCTACCACCGGCACCCTCTTCATATGGATGGATGGAGGGCTGCCGCCATACCCGCCCTGGCCCCAAAGTGGTCAGGCTTCTTCTTCCCAAGGACATAGCAGCGCCGGGGCCGGATTCCTCCAAACACGGCCGACGTCCGTCGTCCACATGTCCCTGCCACGCCTCGATGCCGTGTCGCCCACACCTCCGCGAGAGATCTTTTCTTTATACTTCCGCTATATCTATGTGAAGGCTCTGTCTTAATTTTTGGAAGCTCCTTATCAGCCTGTCCTGAATGCACATAAACGAATACACTCAGCATATCAACAGCATATGCTGTAAAATAAGCGAAATGCTCCGAGTCAAAATTTAATTGTACTCAACCCATAAAGACATCAGAACTGGAATATCTGATATTCTGATAGACAGAGGACATGGGGAGAACCAGTAAAGGCATGTCACCGTCAATATCGTCGTGTCCTCCAATCACCTCGATGATGTCGAGCATCACTGGAATCGTAGATTAAGAAGTAAATCGATCTGGAACCCTAGATGAAGAACCAAATCGATTTGGGGACATAAGAACCGTCGATGAAAAAACAGATAGATTTGGGGAGCTGAGAGGGGATGTACGCTTGTACCTACGCCAGCGGAGGGGTCGATGCTGATCCGCCCTCGTCTTGCCGCGCAGGGGCACAAAATCTTTTTTTTGACCGAGGGTGGGCTGTGGGGCTACGGAGAAGCGGAGGCATATGCACGGCCTTCATCTCTGCGCTGCGCGGAAAAAGCGCCTTGTGGACGCTGGGGGAGGAAGAGGCGACGAAGCGCAGAACGGGCGCGCCGCCACCGCCCGCAAGCCCGCCGCATGCCGCATCTTGCGCCGCCGAGCACCACGAGGGCTGTGATCCTCCGCGAGGAGACGAAGCCGCGGTGGGGCGAGCAGAGGAGGCGGTCCGGAGAGGACAGCCGATGTGGCTGGACTCCTTTGACGGGCCCGGTGGAGGGGATGAGGCAGAGAGGCGTGGAGCCGTGAGGCCGGCGCGGGGCTCGGGGTCAGAGACGTTTCTGGAGGCCGACACAAATGTAGGGCTGGGATGGAGGCAGGAAGACACAGATGGACGGCTGGGATGCAGGACTGTAGATGAACAGGGCAACAGTGATAAACAGGGCAACAGTGATTTCCTGGCTGGAAAACTAAGGACTAAGGATCTTAATATGATATGATTAGTGAACCAGTCCAAACGGGAGTCGTTCCTGGACTCGTTCCTAAGCTACACACAGTTAAGAAACACATGGGTTGTGAATGGGTAGGAGGACTTAAGTGAAAGAACTCAACTCCTTGTCTCCTTGCTATTCATGTTCCTTGCCTGTTGAATTTCAGTTGACACACTTGAAATGTTCTATTTTCAGATCACTTACCACTTCTTCCATTGGAAGAAAGGAACCCCTTTTGCTGCTGATGACCAAGGCATCTACAGCAGATTGACATGGTGGGAGCAAATTGACAATGGTCAGCGGCTTACTCGGAACAGAAAGTTTTTTTACTGTGGTACCTGTGGTGCTGTAAGTTCCATCTCATCCTCGTGCAGTTCACACTTCAACATATTACTCTTTAGATTCTGGAAAGGAAACTTATACTAATCAGTTCGGGCAGTGGTTGCTTGTGCAATCATATTCCACTTTGTTCCTAATCAACAATTTTTGGTGTATCGTTTGCGACAGGATGTACTTGCTTGCTCATCAGACCACCTTTCTGAACTTGGGTTGTGCATAAGTCTGTGGTTATTAAGAAAGCACAAAACATGCTAGAGCATAGTTATGCACTTGTACTGATGCCATGCTTTTTGGATAGACAAAATTATGTTAAATGATGCATTATAAAAGGAGTTTGTAGACAAGAACAACAATAAAAAGGTTTGTAAAACCTTTGAGGCTTTGAGCTAAGTTATCTAGCCAACCCTTGATATTAGGAAATTTCTCTTCCAGCTATTATCCGACCACACTTTGCTGCTACTGTGCCTTCAAGGACTAATTTTTTTGCTTGTGATCCAAAAGTTAAAAAGAGAACAACTAGGATTTTCATGAGCAGTGCAAAGTTCGGCTGATGATTAATCAGTTAGTATCTGCCAGCGCCGCAAAGGCAGTTGAATCTGGACATTTTATTACACTTCATTTCCTAAGTGCAGCATCTTAGCATTTTTGAAAAATTAGAAACTATGATGCTTGGCTTAAAGTTAGTCATTGTTAAAATTTTGTATGCAGTTAACAATGTCATTGTATCTTTTAAATCAAGTTGATATTGTCATATCGAGTATTCTGAGGTGCGTTCTTCCAGGTATCTGATTGCATGGCACTTGACCGACTACAAGCAGCCGATGTTTTTCCTCAATACGATGGCAGTTTTTGTGCTAGTTATAGCAAAAATCCCGAACATGCACAAGGTCCGCATATTTGGAATCAATGCAGACATCTGAGGACCACTGTGCGATGCCATGATGTGATGAAGAGCTACACAGAACAAGCAGTGTGTTTCTCAAACTCCACACAACTGCCTGTAATATATGTACGGGTTTAGAAAGAACTGTAAATGTTACTCTAGCATACAAGGTTTGCCTGCAGACTGCTCTGTGCTGTTGCCGTTGCTGCTTTTCTTTCGAGTTTCACTGGAAGTGGAAACGGTAACTTCGGTAAACAATTAACCACCAGCATGTGGATAAGAAGGTGTGTAGCATAGCAGATGATGTTTGGTATCTGGTTCGATGGAACCATGAAATCAGTACTAAATTTGTTCGCTTGAGCTACTTTTCAGCCATGGAACGATGTTTTTCTCTCACAACATTTTAGCATAAGTATCAGCATAAGCCAAATTTCAGCATACGTTCCAAATTATTTAGGTCAATTTACCTTTATCTAAGTCAAACTTCTCCAACATAACCAAGTTTATTGAAAAAATCAATATCTACAATGTCATATTAGCTTCATTAAATTATCTATGCAATATGTCCTAATAGTGTATTTATTTGAACTTGCAGGTGTTAATTAATGTTTCTAAAGGCTTGGTTAAAGTCAGAAAAAATTTGACTTAATAAATGTTTCTAAAGATCTGATTAAAGTTAGAGAAGTTTGACTTACAACAACTCTAAGAGATGTTATTCTTGACCTTAAATCTAATTTAGACTTTTCGGTATAAAACAGGCTCCAACACATATTCTATCTAACGCCCTATTCGTTTGAACTTATCAGCCCGGCTTATCAGTGAAGGTATAATGTTTTTCTCTCACAAAGCATCAGCTGGCTTATCAGCCGTAGAAACCATCAGCCGAACAGCCTGGCATAAAAATGTACTCAATAGCTTTTTTAGCTAGACCTTAAAATATTGTCATCCTCTATTCCAGATTTCTCACTTGCTAAAGATGAAGATGGGGTGATTTTTATTTAGATGGCTTTCCAAATAATGATTATTCTAGATTTCTCACAATCTAAAGATGAAGAAAGGGCGATTTTTTATTTGGATGGCTTTTCAAATAATGATTTAGGGAATAAGTTTTAAAAATATTCTTAGAGATGTTCTAAGATTCCAAAATAGCTAAGGTTTCGTACCGTCAAATCCGGTAGCTAAGTATGTTGAAAATTTCATTCGATTAATGTATTCCTATTACTGAAGAATATTTGAAATTTTTTGCAATAACAATGCTTAGAGATTTTACAATCCATGAATGAAGGTAAAAGCATGCATAAGCATTTCATTACCTTTTTGTTGGTCGTGCAACTAGTTTTAAAAGTGTTTGTTTAGAAGGGTCACTAAACGTATATCTTGACAGGTGCCTAAATATTATCTCATATTTTGATGACTTTCTCGTCATATTCATAGGCGTAAAAACAATAGTGCCAATTTATTAGCATAGCAGGCATCGGCCTACCGTGTCGAGAAGAGACATTAAAATCCCATGTTAAAACTTGGTGTTCGAGGCTTTCTAGAAAACTAGCAGATCCTGCTCCAAACTGGCTTGGCCAGTTTTACAAACCGACTTAGCCGATTTTCTTGGTGAAGATCCAAACCTGGCCAAATCTCTTTCCGTTGCTGTTGAGGCTGAGATTAATGATGGGAGAGCTCCCATTGTTACTTATGTGATTCTAGCAACAAAATGGATGAGTATTTGGCGGTGGAATTTAAGTATATATTGGTCAACGATGAGTTGTACCAACGAACTGCCGAAGACTTGGTGTTGAAGTGCTTAGATCATGATCAAGCTAAAATAGATATGGGAGAGGCTCGTGAAAGTATTTGTCGTACACATTAATATTCTTTTTTTTCCTCTCATTTGGGTACGGTTATAATATCTTGTACATGCACGAATGCACACCCATGCTACCCATACACACCACACACACCACGTGTGCACAACTAGTCCTACAACTACACACAGATTGGAAGACCGCGTCCTTCATGAGACCACCGGGACCATCAAGGCTCCGTAGACGACGGGCGCGTCACAATCCCATTATAGCTCCACGCGAGAGAGGCTACAGACGAAGACGAGTAATGAATCCCCCAGGTGAGCCCCCCTGGGTCAATTCCAGGAATCAAACCCAGGACCGGCCGCTCGTACCACCGCGAACGAGCCAACCGAGCTACGCTCAGTCCTCATGGTACACATCAATCGGCTTCAAAGATGAAGTGCTTGTTGAGAGGGGCTAATTTTTATCGGTCTAGTATGATTGCCAACTATTTTCACTAGCTTATATTGGACCGGTATGATAGTTGATTGTTTTTTCTTCTACAAGATATGCAAGGAGTATCACGGTTTGGTAATATGCAGTTGGTTGCAGTGATGCATCCCATTATTTAAGACATGGCCATGTCGAAGTTGGGGATTGGATTTCATAGGATAGATTCATCCTTCTTCTAAACATGATGCATGAGGTATTTGAATTTATTGCTGAACATATTATTCATATATTCAACACGCTTCAAACTTTAACTACAAATCAATGTACTTCTTTTGTTTCAAAAGAGGTGCATCAATTTGTCGAATCCTCTAGAATTAAATTCCTCAATTTATCTCAAATATTATGCTCAGGCCAATGGTCAGGTTTTGAGGGAGATCTAGAAGGACAACATGTGTTGTCAAATCTTTAAACAAAAAGGTAAGAAGCAAATAGTTTCAAGTTGGTTATCTAGTTTGGAAGATTATTTTGTCTTTCAGGACAAAGAAAAACAAGCTCAGCAAGTGGTTTTTAAGTTGGAAAGGACCATACAAGATGATAAAGGTTGATAAAACTTGTAAACGATCTCCATTCAAGATGATAAAGGTTGATAAAACTTGCAAACGACCTCCTTGCAACGTCTCTCTATCATGAACGCTACTTTTTGATGAGTTATAGTGGATACAATCTCCAGATTGATTTGGACATTATCTCCAAGAATCCAACAGCGTGTGGGACTGTCTGAAAGAGTACACCTCCAATTTTAAATAAGAAAGATGATAAAATATGGCCACCATGATTTTCAAAAAATAAAATATGGCCACCATGACCATATCCCTGCCATTGTAAAAGCCATGTTTAATATAATCGTGTATACAACTCAATGTGAATGCGAACCCCTGTTCTTTACAAAATTCTTGCACGACATCGAAATTTCAAACATGCCACAACTACTCAAGTGAAAGTCGCTTTGTTTGACATTTCCAAGTTCCTACAGTAGACCATTCTTGTTCCTACAAGAGACCATTGAGAAGTACAACGCCCAACAGTCACCACATCTGTTTCTGAAAAATCCCGCATCTGTTTATCACAAGTCAGCTGAGTTGTATTGTTGTAAAGTTGAAAGGTGGCAATGAGTCAAAACTTCAACATCTTTGTCTTGTCTCAGTCATTGTAGCTCTGTTTGTTTATCTCAGCGACTCACCCAGAGTAACTTTTCAATGCCTTTTTGCAACAGCTCGGCTTGCCATTTCGTCCAAGACGTCTTTAGGAGAATTATGTGATGGTTCTCTCGATAATCAGTGGCCAATCATGGTGACAACTGACAAATCAGACTGAATACATATTCTGAAGGTGGTTTGTACATCGCACAGGATTATAGTGCAGTATTTCAAGGTTAAAAAGCACTCACCACGACGCAGCAGACCTGAGACCTGTTTTAACCAAATTCAGAGTACATGCAAATTTTGCACATGAAACGAAGGATGTTGATACCGGTCTTTATGGCTGATAAAAGAACAATCACCTCTTAAGCGAGTAACTTTGCTAGTTCATCTACTCTTAAGGTACCTTGAGGAACAACATCAGATAGAAACTCTTGTGCATGGTCATTTGTCTGCATTGCCGATCCTCCATTAGCGATACATTTCTTTTCAACATGACTGCTGGACAGTTTATTTTCTACAAGATGTTTTTTAATTCTTGCATGATTGTCTGGCCCATTTCTCCTGGCACTGGACTTCCTTTGAGTATGCTCGAAAATCAGTCTTCGCGGAATTGACTTTGTAAAAGCAACAGACTTTTCATAGATCAGATCTGAATCAACAAGCTCATCTTCACTCAGAACAAGTGCCCTGCCACTCTCAATGGCCTGCTCCAGAAGACATAATAATCCCTCTATATAGGATGGAACTTTAGAACCACTACCTTTCATACCATCGTTTCTTTTCCTCTCTGTCTCCAAATTATAAACATCCGGACAATGTTCTGACTTCTCTACCAGACCTCTATTTTCACTGTTGTTTGTTGGGATACTTTGGCACTTCAGGGATGGATCCATAATATCACATACTGGCTTTAATGGTGAATATTCCAATGGAGTGTCTGCTGAGGGTTCAGTTCTAGATATACCTGTAGAATGGAACAATGCAGGAACTTCCTTTGCAGAATTCAGTACCGTATCACTAGCAATGGAATCTTTAAATTTTTCTTGATCTTCACCCAAGTTGCAGTTCTTGTGAGATGTTGCAACACTGACCAACTCAATCTGGGTCAGAACATTTCCTGAATGTGTAACCTTTTCATTAGATTCTTTGCCACTTAAACTTTCTTGCACCTTTGTCACCTCAAAACTATTTTCTTCTAATGGAGGAAGAGATGATTTCCAATCACTTCCTCTCCACATCAGTATATGCTCAAACTCAAAAGACAGTAAGATACAGGGAACTAGATCCTGCGAAGGTAGAGTTCATCAACTTCTGAACAAAATAATCCATGACTAAAGAACATTCTTCAAGATTTATCAAACCTTTAGTTTAGCTCCAATTTTTCTGCAATCACTTTTGTTAAGACCTGAGCAATCAACACGGACAAGATCACATGCTTCAAATGCTTCTCTGACTTGCTTCACAAGGTTGGCATAAACACCATTTTTCCCTATATAAAATTGGACAAGTTAATGAGTGTACAAAGAGTTGTAAAAGTACAATTACTGAACGACACATTGCATACAAATGTGCTATGTTGCAGTTGGATATAAATATAAGAGTTAAATGCACCGTAGGTCCATTAACTTTTGGTGGTGTGTCATCTAGGTCCATCAACTTTTAAACTGTATTTTTTTGTCCATTAACTTTTGGTGGTGTGTCATCTAGGTCCATCAACTTTCAAACTGCATTTTTTGGTCCATTAACTTTTGGTGGTGTGTCATCCAGGTCTATCAACTTTCAAATTGCATTTTTGGGTCCCTAAACTTTTTAACTGGTTCACCGTAGGTCTATACCCCTTCGTTTAGCGAATAGATCTAACATGGCACGCCAAATAAGCAGCCACTGTGGAGTAGGTGATGAGTCCATAGCTCCTCAAGATGTTTATGGAGACTTGTCTAGCAATATTTCAAATGTAGCAGCTGGTAATTCGTTAATATCCCCTGATCTTAAATTTGGGACTATTATTTTTAAGGATAAACATATTGTGGACATGGAGAAATTTACAACTGTTGGACTGTCATCAAAGATATTTTATAAAGGTGCCTTATTATTGCGTGGAAAGGAGGAGAAAATGAAGCCAACAAAATACATCAGTACTAATTCTAAAGAGGTGGAGATTATCAATGAAATTTTCCCAACATGATTAGCATCCTTGTCGTAGTATTTTATTATTTTCATGCATTAGTTTCCTATCCAGTTGTGATATACAATCTTTTATCTAGCATCTAGCTTTTAGTGCCTGCGTGCACCTATGTACGTGAATCAAATTGGTGGTTGCGTTTGGACGTGCCATGCATGTTAGCCGAATCAGGGACTCGGGGTCAACCGGTCCTAGTTGGGCTGGTGGAGTCCGAGAGTTTTGTTGGAGTCAGGTGGCCTGCGTGCCTATACCTATGGCCTTCGGTCTTCTACCGGGTAGATTAGACTGGATTTTATTGTGGAGTTTATTCCCCGTCGAGCTGCCACTCGAGAAACCCTAGATGGTGATCCCATCAGGTTCTTCGTATTGAAGATTATCTCCGAATGGTGATCTAGTCCTGTACTCCATGGTGGCTGTTTTTTTGGCGTGCCATGTCAGATCTATTCGCTAAACAAAGGGGCATAGACCTACGGTGAACCAGTTAAAAAGTTTAGGGACCCAAAAATACAATTTAAAAGTTGATGGACCTGGATGACACACCACCAAAAGTTAATATACCAAAAAATGCAGTTTAAAAGTTGATGGACCTAGATGACACATCACCAAAAGTTAATGGACCTACGGTGCATTTAACTCTAAATATAATATGCACAGCATGAAAGAACTTCAGAAAACCAGGAGGAACCAAGAGTACAGGACAGCTATCAAATGTTCACCGCTCTCTCTCAACATGACAGGGAGCCATTGGGGGCCACCTAGGTGGCAAATAGGCCAGTGCCGGGCACCCAAGTCCCCTAAAATCTTGCCAGATCCCCATGCGTGCACAATTCAAGGGCCCACAAAAAACCAACAAAGGGAGGATGCTCTTGGCAACCCTCCCCTCCCTAATTGGTCGCCGGTTGCCTCTCTCCACTACCACCAGGACTGCAGTAGCTGACAGGGAGTCAGCTGCAATTATTTTTATTTAATTGCAGCCCACGAGGATTTGAACTCAACACATCTCACTGAGATACCATATTGAATTGTAGCCCACCAGGATATGAACTCAACACATCTCGCTGAGATACCATATTGAATTGTATGCACCAACCAACTCAACCCAAAAACTTAAGCTGATAGGAAAAGATGGGCAATTCACTTATATTTCAACAGCTATCCTCGCCAATCCCTGCCAGAACATGCCTCTCGGCCATCACAAAACCAATGCCAAATCTCTCCACCGCCACCGGACTCTTAGAATTGAATCACAAGCTCGGTGCATGCTGATCTGATTGGCCAGTGCTGCTTTTGGTTGAGTAGTGAGCGCTTTGCTGCAAACTGCAAGAATGCATCTAGCTATTTCTGTTGTAAGCGTGAAGGCCACATAGCTCGCAATTACATGCAGCCTCAGTCTTACACGTGCTAAGTTGAATGGCCAGTCGTGCCAGCAGGTCCTCCTCCCAGAGCACCCCAATCAGTCAGGCTGTAGTAGGTGTCATCGCTTGATTCCTCTCCATCTACAGTATGTCAGATGCTGTGCCTTCATCTCCATCCATCCATGAGGCATCTGCTTGATTGCGAGAACTGGAAATTGCCATCCACGCTCCAGGGAGATGGAGTGCAGGGATACTCTCTCGCAGGCTTCAGTCGCCATCACCGATTCTCCTGTCCTTAGCGCTGTTGGCATAGGTGCAACGAATTGTTGTTCAGTTTGAAGAAATTCCATCACTTGTGACCTCCTTGGTGCGAAGGATTTGTGGTCTCACCTTGAAGCCATCAATGAATTTCCTCGTCAAGGTTGCCATGGCGGATGGATGGGATCTGAAGATCCTTGAAGCATCTACCTGTCCACCTCGGTTGGCAGTCAAGGATCCTAGTTGCCAGGCCACTTCCAATGGGATCTATCTCATATTGAGGTCAGTTGGAGTCATTGGTTTCCATGTAGGCATTGTGTTGGTCGAAGAGCCATGTAAGGTGGTGTTCGGTCTTTGTTTTGGTCAGGTAACATGTTGTCTGATGATCATTGCTTTGGTTGTGTAAGGTGTTTGTCAAAAGCATGCTTTGGTCATGTAAGGTCATTGTACTTGATTATTTTGGTCTTTCTTTCTCTCTTAACACAAAATCTCCTGCGTGTTTAGGGAAAAAAAAACATATCTGTATATTCCATTTTTTTTTTAATCAGCACACATCATGTATGATCATATGGTACTTTTAAGCTTTTAAGAAATGGTGCATCTGAACAAAAACATGTTTTAAATTTAGCCAAAATACTTGTCAATGAGTTAAGCATCAGTATAAGCCAAAATTTAGGTAGTGATTTCCCTGAAACAAGGGGGCGCATGAAATATGCTGTATATCCAAAATTCAGAACAGTTCAAAGGAACCAATACTCCGAAAAAAGGAAACTAGCCTTACCAAGTTTGCAAATTGGTGGTAACTGACGTCCTCTCGCGCGCATTTCTGTGGCCTCGTCTGGAGTTAAGCCACCTGGGACCTTCGTGACAAGGCGCGGGTACACAGGTGCAACGGGTTTCCAGAGCATAAGCGGAAAACATGGGCGGGTCCTGTAATTGTAGTTTCTACCACGAAAAAGAAATATGACACCCCCTTGGCGGTGTATTACTTTTCCTCCAACCTTTTCCTGTTGAAGTATATGACAAAGTTGTCAAAAGAGAGAAACATGCAACCACAGAAATAAGTTCAGTAGTTACTATATCTAACTAAGATGACTTCTAAAAGTATGAATGATGTATTTGTTTCAAGGAGCAAACACGAGCCTCTCAAAGTCTCAAGAATGAGAGAATGTTAGGTAGGTGTATGAGTTTTGCATGCCTCTCCGGTAATTTACTTGTACCTTATTTACTTGTTTTCACACCTTGATTGGATTACATTTTATTTGTGTACTGATATCATTATTGATGCAGCTCAACTAATAATAATCTAAGACGATTAAAAAAATACAATCTAAGAAGTAGATGTGTTCAACTGTGTGAACAATTTCGGTGGCCAAAGATGCGAATGGCATCATGAAAAAGGATTCGGAATTTCTGTATTGGCTGTACCCATCAACTCCAAATCCTATATCTTCCAGAGAAAAGGTATGACATGTGTTAAGCTTCTTGTAAAGAGCAATGCCGATATGCTAGTATAGTTAACTTTGGAAAGCTGAATGTTACTGGTAACCTTCTTAATCATAGAAAACTACTTGTTCTACTTTCATAACTCCAATGTTTATGGGGTAAGTCAGATGTTTGGCAGTAAGTGCAATATCATTTAGTTGTTGACCCTTCAGCTTGAAGTCCACCATATATTTCAGCATCATCAATTTCTTGGGCTCATATGTGCTTGATTGTCATGCAAAATTCTGATCTGGATGCCTCACGTCAACCTCACCTACCACTTATGCAATATTTGCGTTAATCCCCTCACACACAGCTCCTAGAAATTTACTACTACTTCTTGAGTCCTCGTCGGTGACTTGCCAGTAATGTAAGCAAGTAAAACAAAACTTAAGGCTGATTTAGGTACTAAAACATCAAAGAACTTTGGAAATTCAGAGAAAAAGGGTGGGGGCTATTGGTCTTAACTATCCTACGCCCATCCCTATTAAATCATGAAATTTTGTTGATGCATGGACATGGTCATAAATGCACTACTCTGCTGAATCACCATAGACCTCCACTTTTTACTGTGCTCTTAAATGTGGAAGCCTGGAAAAAGAATTATGGTTTAAACTCGGACACCATGGTTCTCAGTTGAATACATCATCTAGTGCTAGTACGAGTTCAAGCCAGAAAGGTACTCGTTCATGAAAAGCGATTTTTACTTTCAAGAAAAGTTTAAAAAACAATTGTGCGGGGTTGTTAGCAAAAATATCCATAGAAACATTTTCCTCAAAAGCTTTAAAACTTCTAGAAATTTGATTGCTACATAATCTTTTTATTAGCCAAAGCAATCTTTTCTTGGTGGTAGTTTGGAAGTTAGCCAGTGAATACCATATAATCCTATTTTCATGGATTGTTAGCACCTGTCCAAGAACCCTATTCACATCCCTGCTCTCCAGCATTAACCTGGCAGCTTGCAACCAAAATGCCTAGCATGTAGCAACTAGCTAACTATGATCACAACTGTTGACCAAGACCAGGTAAACAGCGAGATAAGCTTCCTATGTAACCATCTGATCAGATACATTTGATTTGTGTATTGATAATCATTATTCCTGCAGCTGGACTAACACAAACAACTGAACCAAAAGGAAGAAGAAAGAAGCTAACTACCTCTAGTTGCTGGCAGATATTATCCATATCCACCGTGCAGACACCTTTGCACTTTATCTTGCAAACTCTTTTCCTCTTCCAATGTGAATGAATGTTCTCCAACATATTGTGTGTCAAACCATCCCTACCTGCAGCAAGCCAACATGTACCAACAATCCACATTTTAATCCGGCGACACAGTTGAATCCACAGCAAGAGAGGGAACCCACCCATATTGAGTTGCCGTTTGGACTTGAGGCTTCCTTTCACGAGTTCGGAGACCTCTTCCTTGGTGAGAGGCTCCCCGAGTATGCCCTCCCTGGACACCGATTGGTACCTCGGCTCCATACCGGCGAGGAACGGCCCCGGTGACTGCACGGGCTTCACCCCCTTCTTGCCCGGTGGTGGCAGCACGAACGAGTCAAACTCCGGAAGCTCCTTGCGGCTCTTTGGCAGCGGCTTCCTTCCCGTCCACGGGCGTGGCGTGGCCTCGGGCCCGAACGGCAGGAACGGGGCCTCACGGAGCGCTACGGGGCGTGCGTGTGGGGCCTCAGTGTAGCTATACTGAAACTCGAATGGCGCGCCATCGAGGCGGTAAGAGAGGCCACGATCGGTGACGCGGACTCCGGCGGCGGGCTCATCGGTGTCCGCGATGGGAATCTTCTTGGCACGACCCCGAGCGGCTGCAGAGAAGGCCGGATGCGAAGTGACGGCGCGTCGGGGGCGCTTGGGGCCAGTGGGAGGTTGCTTGTGGTGGGAGAGGCAGAGGCGGAGGGGCGCGGGAAGCCGTGGATGGGATTGCTGAGCTGGGGCCAGGAGGGAGCGAGAGGGCAAGGGTGCAGTCGCCATGGAATGTTTGCAGTGCAAGGGGACGGCAGACAGAGGTTATCTGCTTCCGTTTCGACGCAGGGATAAGGCAGCTCGACGGCTGGACTGTTTACTGCTGCTCACAGCCGAGCGCGTCATAAAATTAGAGGTCACAGTCGCAGCCAGACCCAGGCACCTGCTCGCCGCCACCGCGCCCGCCCCCTGCTCGCGCCTCGCGTGGTCGGGGCCGCGCGGCGCCCCCGTCGCCGCTCGCGGGTCGCCCACGCCCGTGCCGCCGCGCCGGTCCGCCGCTGCCTCGGCGCCTCCACCTCCCGTGCGGCATCGCGCCGCCGCCGCTGGCCTGTCGGGTGAGCCGCGTTGCCGCCGCCTCCCAAGGATAGGGTTAGGGTCAGACTATCTCCAACGGCCGACGCATCACGGTACCCAAACGTAAAATGCCTGCTCCACGGCAAAAACATATGGTCCAACAGATGACGCAAACGGCGAACCCATTTTGGGTGGGAGGTGATGGAGAACGCAAATCTGCGTCGTCTCTCTCCTCGACCCAAATCTCCGGCGCCGTGGACGACGACGGGGCCAGGCGGGACCGCGACGAGGTGCGGCCGGCAGCGGCGAGACAGAACACTGGCGGGGAGCGCTAACCGGGCGAGGCGGACCGGCTCGGTGAGGCGGGTCCATGGCCGGGCCAGGCGGGGCGGGCCAACGCACGGGAGCGGCCGGCGTGGCAAAGGGGACAGCATGCGGGGTGGGGCGGGTCCATGGCCGGCGGGACCACCACCACACCGATCGGGCGATGAGGCGGACCCGCCTCCCGGCGCCGACGACGAGCCCTCGCCGTCGCGCCGACGTCCTCGCCTCCCGATCCATGGGCCCCTCGGGCCACCCGAACCCGCCGCCATCCTCCAACATTGCCGCCGGGGCCGGCCTCGACCATGCCGCCGTCTCCAGCGCCTTGGCCTCCTCGCGCTCCTCCTCGGTATGCCACCATGAGGCGCGGTGGTCAGGGCACTCCCGCCCCAACCCGTCGGAGTTCGGGCGGCGTGCCCTTCTCACGGAGCTCAGACGAGGGCGGAGAGGAGCGCCTTGGCGAAGCGGCGGGCGCGCGATTTCTCGTTTATGTCGCTGTTGGAAAATGGTAGTTTTGGGTGCGGGATCTTTTCAACACCGTGCCGCACCCAAACTCTTGATTTTAGGTGCGGCTCGTTTGCAGTAGAGCCTGGCTCGTATCTAAGAGCCAGAGCTCACATGGGACAGTGAGTGAGCACATGCAACGCAATTGTCATGTTTGGTTGAGTGTATCTACTCACCTGGTGAGAAAAGAGATGTTGTTTGGTTGCTGTCATGCGAGATATACCTTGCATGGGATAAAAATATTATAAGGTTATGATTATGATTTTTATTTTGTACAAATACACTCTTAAAGTTCTTATTTTATCTAATTATGTCTTAAACATCTTTAAAACAAATTAATATCACTTGATATTTACTAATCATACACTAATACATCATTAGTCGAGTAAATGATTTAGCACCGAAGCGAGCTCTGCCAAAGCAGAAACGGCCGATTCGGACGTTTCCCCAGAGCCTGGCCGCGGGGTGCTTTTTGCACGCCCAGAGCCTGGCCCGACGCCAGGAGCAGGCAACCAAACGAGGGCACCCTGCATCCCGCCAACCTGGTTCAGGCAGATGCAGGGAACCAAACATGTCCTAGATGTATGCCTGAGGCCGTGAAGGGCTGGGTGTACGTTGGATTGGTGGGCCTGAACTGGTGGGCTGGATGGGGCGCTCGTTTTCCTGGGCAGCTATTTGGACTGCCGTCCAGGTCGATAGCCCCGAGCCGTTGGACAAATGGCAGCTAGCAGAGCAAAATTCCCGCTGATTTTTTGGTCTGGCCTATCGCTTGCATATTTATTTACGGACCGCCTATTAGGTTTCGTCCTATGTACCGGTTTTTCCATCCGCGTATCTGTTTCCCGAGTCCTGACCGTCTACGTTTCTGTTTCCTGCGGTAAACCATCTCCGTTCTCGACATCAATCCTTTAATAATCAATCCAATAAAGGAAAAAAACACATATCACATCTACCCTGCACTATTTGCCACGGAGTAGTTATTAGATTCTAACTTCTGTCTAACTCGCCGTCTACACTCGGTGATGGTGGCATCGAGCTCGTCACACGGTAGACAAGGTCATAGGACAACGACAGTTCAGTTGGCTTTGGTGGAGATGGAGGCGCATTGAAGGTGCGACTAAGGTAAACTGGACGCGGATCCCATTTGGTTGCTGCAAATGAGCCAGGGCCCCCTCACCTGACAAGGCTTGGGTCAGGGGACTTGCTCGCTGCCATTTTCGATCGAACAGTGCCAAATGGAGATAGGTAAGGCACCATTTTTCGAAGATTGGGCACAAAGACTGCAGGAGAGGAGGCCAATGGGTGCACATAGTCGTATGGAACGGACCAGCAAAGCCCTCGATTAACGGTTTGCTTAGTCCACCCAATTGAACCGCTGGTATAGTATAGTTAACAGAGTTGTAATGGAAAAGGGTGAGTTTTTTAACTTACAGGTTGCGACTTTGATTCATCTCAGTACGCTTTTTTTTCCTTCTGTTCTATTTCCTCCAATTTATCTTTCATGTGCATAACCTCCTCACTATTCTATTTCCTCCAATTTATTCTTCGTGTGCATAACCTCCTCACTATTCTATTTCCTCCAATTTACCCTGCATGTGCACAACCTACATGGGCCAGACTTCAATTCTGAGGATGGGCGTGTCAGAGCAACTCCAGCAGGGACACCCAAATCAAGGCCTCTACTTTTCTTTCGTGTGCCCCCCTACTTTTGTTGGCCTAGTTTTTTTACTTCTACTCTAACAGCAGCACCTAAATTTAAGCCCCCAAATCCATTCATGTAGACACTGACAAAAGGGACACGCTCATCATTCTCTACCCTCTATCAACTAATCTATATGCATGGGAAAGTCCACGCGGCGCGAAGACGGAGGAGCGTGCGGGCGAGGCGAAGTCCTCGTGGGTCGTCGAGGCATCGGGGAAGTAGGAAGCGAGGCAGCGGGGAAGCGGTAGGGCAAGCGAGGCGAAGTCCTCGTGGCGAAGAGGCGAAGCTCCGCTCATCAAGGCGTCGGGGAAGCAAGGTGGAGCTACGCTAATCGAGGCATCGGGGAAGAGGCAGGGCATAGGCTGCGACTCAAGGCCATGGGGACCGGCAGAGCCGCCGGCCGTCGGGAAGGCTCGATTCGTGCCTATGGGTGGCCACGTGCCGTGCGGGCCCTGCGTCGCCGCATTCACTGTGGGCACTGTCCGGAGGAGCCGCGGGAGTCATGGCCTGCACGGTTGTTTGATTAGTTTGTTTTTTTATTAGTATGTTTTTTCTTCTGTTGTAAAGATAAAAATATTTACTCATAGATATATATCATAACTTCAATTTTCAATACTATTCAATTGTTTGATTAGTTAGAGCATCGGTTGATCTAATTTTAATAAAAATAAGTTTTATTTTTAATCATAACTACATCAACAAATTAGCAATGGAAAGAGTGGGTTGCAGTTATTATTTGTTTCATCATATATTTATGAGAAAAATAGAAGAAAAAATACACACAAAAAACAAAAAGAAAGGGCACGGCAAAATGGAAAAAGAAAAAAGTGCACGTTATGAAACTGGAGTCCACGTAGAAGTGGAAGAAAAAAACCAAATCTATAGAAAAAAAAGAAGTCAGACACGGTGTGCTAAAGGGAAAAAGTAACATCCGCGTATTAGGAAAAAAGAAATAGCCATGGACTCTGTGATGGTGATGGACTCCAATTTTCGGACGCATTGGGGAAAAAAAGAACTAGTGTAGGAGGGAAATATCAGGAAAAAGGAATAACATATAGGAAAAATAATAGGAATAAAAAAAGGAATAGTGATAGACTCCGCCACGGATTCCTTTGATTTTTTTTCGTTTTTTACTCGTTTTTAGCACCTATAACGGAGACATCAATTGGAGATTTGAAAAGTATATTAAAAGGAAACAATTGCTTAATTCTAATTATAGTATGGATTTCGGAGTTTGTATATTTTGTGGTAACTGTGTTGAGTACTTTTCAAAAAAACTGTTTATCAATGACCGAAGAATATGAACTTTCTACTTATGAAACTCAACTATTGACTTATGTCCTAGCTTCTTCTTCAGTTCTTGTACGCAGAAGGAAAGGTAGGATTACTGCCGTGGGTCATAAAAGGTTAGCTTAATGGCTTGATGGAATGATTTAGCGGATACTCAATTTCATTTCTAATAAAGTATAGCTTTTACTTGGGACTCTAGAAAACATGCAACTGGTAATATATATAAAAATCAGGATGGAAGAAACTTTCCATTGTCCGGTAGTTAGAGGAAGACGGACAAAAAATAGATGAACGAAAAAAATAGCTGAAAATTTTGCCTCTTTATTATTATGTATAGATTACATCCTCCGTTCTAATTATATATACTATTTTAATAGTTTTTATATATACATAATTATAAGTCATTCTAACTTTCTTAAATATTCAAAGCATCTCAAATTTAACCTAAACTATAAAAAATTACAAAAAAATTTAACATCAAATAGGTATACTAATAAAATATAATTAATAAAGAATCTAATAATACTTATTTGGTATCATAAATGTTATTATTTTATTATATAAAATTAGTCAAACTTGAGATGCCTCGACTTTTCAAGAAAGTTAAAATGACTTATAATTTAGGATTGACAGAGTAACTTTTATTACATATCTAGAGATATTATATATATCTAGATGCATAGCATAAAAATATGTATGTAAAAAGTCAAAACAACCTATAATTTAGAACAAAGAGTGGTATAAGATATTTTGACTTTCCCAACATAATGTATATTTAAATATATATAGTAGACTTCTTATTAAAATAGAGAGAGTATATTTCTTAAGTTCAAATTAAAATATAAGATTTTATTTATTGGATATACAAATACAAAATGAATAGTTGAAAATTACATTC